AGGTTCATCACTTCGAAGCATAGAAGCTGTAGACTGACCCCCATCAACAAAAGGGTCATTTAAGAACAGTGCTGATCACTCTTACCGTGGAATATTAGCTTTTGCTGGTGGGAACATTAGCTTCATAGAGTCACCAAATACTGTATGTGGGATAAAACTGAACCTTGAACTGCCTCATAAAATGACTTTATATTTTAGGACATGGGAAGAACAGAAGACAGAGCATGCTCTTTTAAGTCTGATAACATGGTTTCAAGCCCAGCCCCCAGCCTTTCTTATCAATCAAGGACTCAGATCTGAAGGCAATTATTTCTTTTGGTGGACTTGGAATCTTCGTTTGTCTACACTGTCCTCTTCACAGTGGAGTCTTTTTATTTCAGACCTACAGATTGTTTTTATATTTGTTGTCACAGTGTGACAATTTTTTTGTACAGTTGGTTTTAAGGTCTTTTCTGCCATTAGAGCCAGTAGGTTACAGCTATTGATGTAACTGTAGCTGCAATTTTTGTGCAGGACTGAGAAACACAGTGCATTATTTATTGCGGAATCATTGCTGCTAAATAACTACTGTCTGTTTAACACAACAGTTGAATGCCTGAAGAAGTTGCAGTGGCTTTATTATATGTGAATGCATCTGTTTCTCCTCACAGATTGTTTTACTGCTGCATTTTTTTTGTTTGTTTTTAAAAATAACTGCAGTGTTTCCTGGAATGTAAATTTAGCTTTGCTTAACAGTAAAATAAGTGAGCCATCTTGAACACTCTTAAGTTCGTGCTATATAATTTTTTATTGACCATTGGCAAATAGAGTAGCTAAGAAATTGATAAGCACATTATGTTTAGGAAAGCATGTGATACAGAAGTTGATTTGGGCAAGTAAATACCTGACATTTTGGGGATCTTGCATTAGATACCAGTAAATTAAAGCACCAAAATTATTTATTTTTACCTTTCCTCATTTTAGAAATATTTACTGCATAATAATGGATATTTGTATACTAATACACTTAACTTGTTTTACATTGTGCTTTAATTTAGTTAAAACTAAACCATACAAGTCCAGTCAAACATGAGAGGTCTTGTTACTGTTTATTTGTTTTAAATACAATTCTTTAATTAGAAGGGATAATACTTCGTTGGGGAACAATTTATTTCATTTGAGAGCTGTGTGTATGTGTGTGTTTTTTACAACATTCACTTGGAATCAGCTAAAAGCTGTAATATGTCTTTGAAATGAGCCATGATAAATACAAATGAGAGAAATGAGAACTTAGAGCATTGTAGGTATTATCTGTTTACCAGAGATAGTAAATATTACAGTTTTAATTATGCATCTTTTTGAACATCACAACTACACCTTGGTGTTGGCAGCAGTGTTTTAAGCATTTGTGTTCACTTTTAAGGACTATTTGTTTAGTGCATCTTACAAACTACAAATCTTAATTGGTATATTTTGCAACGGTCATGTAAATTTTTGGCTTATATATCATGAAAGTAGTCATAACGTAATTTTTTTTCCTGACGTTCACTGTAAAACATTCAGGGGTCCTACCATTTCTGTTCAGGAAATCTTGTAGTTTATTGTTATTTAACAGTATTAAGTGAATTTTTGTATATTTCATTTTAACTTTATTTGTGAATAGTGATTGTGGCATGTTTGGGGTGTTATTTTAATATTTCATGATAGTGAAATTTTAATTTTTAAAAAAAATTCTGAAAGAAACAGATTCATGTGTAATGGTGAATGTTGGACCACTACTGCTTTTCACATTTGTAAATTGGTTTTATGTTAAACCCTGTAGCCTAACAAAACCTGCTGTTATTTCTGACAGACATGTATTAATATTGTACTTTGAAGGTTATAAATATTATGTGGAAGTTCCTCCATTTTGTTTTGAAATTTATAATAACAAAATCTTCATGTTGTTAAATTTGTTGAGTCACAGTTCTTTCTTGGGAAAGAAGGCTGTGCAGAATGGGATAATTTTCTTTCATGGGCCTCCTTAATATAATGAAGTCTCACTGTGACAGTGATGGTAATTAATTTATATTTGTGCCGGCCATTCACTTAGTGGTCTTAACTGTAATTTTGTAGGATAGCACTTTCAGGTATAACTGTCACATTTTTCATTTCATGGGTTACATATTTGACTTGTTGCTAATTAGACATAGGTATGCATAGATTTGATTCTTGCATATAAAAGGTGAAGAACTATACCTGGTATTTACATAAAATTCTTCTTCCTAGGAAGAGCTAGGGATGTTTCTTCATTTTATTAAGGAATTTGATTTTTTTTTTTGATACTTGAGCACCATTCAGATTCTGAAAACTTTGCAGTGAAGAGAATGAAACAGAAATTTTGAACCTTGAACACATGATTCGTCTTAAACTGACAAGGTTCTTAAAGGTAAGAGAGGATGCCTTTTTTGTTTTCCTTCCAAGTGTTGCTATTAATACATTGAATATGTCGCTCTGTATGGAAGTGGCTGTATTCTGTTTGGTGCTTTACAAGCTTATGTTTGAAAGACTACTTGTTAATGTGTTCTAATAATCTTATCTTTTAGACCCAAGATAATTCTTGTGTTTGTTTTTCATGTGTGTGTTTTTTGTTTTTACTTTTTTTACTTTATATGTAACATAAAGTTTGCCATTTTAACCCTTTGTAAGCGTACAGTTCAGTGGCATTAATTATTACATTCACAGTGTTGTACAGCAATTACCACTGTCTATTTCCAAAATTTTCCATCACTCCAGACGGAAACTTTGTACTCATTAAGATATAACCCCCCTGTTTTCCCTTTTGCCCAGCTCTTGGTAACCTCTTATGTACATTTTCTATGAATTTGCTTATTCTAGATATTTCACGTAAGTGGAGTAACACCACATTTGTGTTTTGGTGCCTAGCTTATTTCACATAGCATAAATGTTTTCAAGGTTCGTCCATGTTGCACCATGTATCAGAACTTCATTTGTTTTCACGGCTGAATAATACTGTTGTATGAATATACAACATTTGTTTATCCATTCATCTGTTGATGGACACTGGGTTTTTTTCCCACCATTTGGCTATTGTGAGTATTGCTATGAACATTGGTATATAAGCATCTGGTTGAGCCCTTGTTTTCAGTTCTTGAGTTTATATACCTAGGAGTGGAATTGTTGGGTAATTTAGTGATTTTATGTTAACTTTTTGAAGAACCACCAGTTTTTGAGTGACCACACCATTTTACATTCCCAGTAGTAATGGATGAGGTCCAATTTCTCCTCATCCTCACTTTTTTTTTTCTTTCCCATTATATTCATTCTAATGGCTATGAAGTGGTGTCTCATTGTGGTCTTGATTTGTATTTCCCTAATGACTAAGGACATTGAGCACCTTTTTATGTGTTTATTGGCCATTTCTGCTTTAGAGAAATGTCTATTCAAGTCTTTTGCCCATTTTTAAATTGGGTTGTAGCCTTTTTGTTAAGTTGGAGTTGTTCTTTATGTATTCTAGATATTAGACCCTTATGAGGTATATGATTTGTAATTATTTTCTTCTGTGGATTGTCTTCACTTTCATGGTGGTGTCCTTTATACAAGTTTTTAATTTTAATGAAGTCCAGTTTGTTTTTTCTTTTGTTGCCTCTGTTCTTGGTGGCATATTTAAGTTGCTGTTGCTAAATCCAAAATCATGAATATTTTCTTTTACGAATGTTACAGTTTTAGCACTTATATTTAGGGCCTTGACCCATTTGAATTATTCTGTACATAGTGTAAAGTGAGGGCTCAACCTCATTCTTTTGCATGTGAGTATCTAGTTTTCCCAGGGCCACTTGTTGAGAAGACTGTCCTTTTTCTACTGGATGGTCTTGGCACCCTCATTGAAAATCAGCTGACCGTAGGTGTGAGGGTTTATCTGGGGACTCTCAAGTCCATTCTCTTAGTCTACAGCTCTGTCCTTCTGCTAGTACCACAATGTTTTAATTACTTGTAGCTTTGTAAGTTTTGAAATCAAGAACTGCGAGTCCTTCGCCTTTGTTTTTCTTTTTCAAGATTGTTTGGCTATTCAGGGTCCCTTGAAATTCCATATAAACTCAGGATGGGATTTTCTGTTTCTAGGGGAAAAAAGTTTCTTTGGGATTGCGATAGGAATTGAATCTGTGGATTATATTGGGTAGTGCTGTAATCCTAATAACACTATTAAGTGTTCCAATCTATGAACAGGGGATATCTTTAGTTTCTTGATATTATTTGCAGTTAAAAGAATAGCTGGTAATTTAGTTTTTCCTTTTCAGTTTTCCTATCAATACAGAATGATTGATAGAACTTTAGATTTAAAAGATCAGAGGACCACTTTTCAAACCCACTCCTTTCCATCCATTTCAACCTCAGTAAGTATATTTCCTTAAATATTTATGTTTAAAGAAGATTTATATATACATAGCATGTTTTGATGTGCCATATTTAAGCTAAATGACAACTCATTTTCCAACTTATACCCATACAGAAAAGTGAAATTTGGATCATCTAAAGTAAATGGAAGGACACCAACCCGCTTGCCTCTTCACACCTTTTATCACAAAGTATTTATTGAACAAAAATAATAGTAAAAATGATACATATATGAAAGTGGATGAAGATTTGCAGTCATACAAAAGATGTGTACAAAGAGACCAACATTTAGGTTATAGTTCTATAAAACTTTACCATAGCGTTTTAAGACTGATCAAGCAAACATGTAAAAAGGGGAAAAAGTTACTTAATATGTTCTTTGAAATCTGTTTTCTGACTAAAATAGTTTTAAAGACAAAAAGCCCAGCACACACAGAATGAGGCAGAGCTATACTCTTTTACTCCAGTTCTCTATTTGTGTTATAGTGACTTTTTGATTCATCAAAAATTATGGTATTTTTCCATTTCTAATAAATGGAACCAAAGTGTATGTTAATCATAGTATTTGGAGGGAGGGAATACAAGAATCAGATTTACAGTCAGCATTTACATTTAAAATATTTTTGGTTGAAATTTTTGCACATTGACTAACTTTAGTTTCTCTGTGAGAGTCTTTCATTTGAGGTATGCTCTTTCTTAACTGACAAAACCGTTTTCTTTCTTTTTTTTGGCTTTTCTACCTAACCTAGTTTTGGACCAGTAGTTATTTGTTAGCTAGGCATGGGGAAACAGACCTGGACTGAGCACCAATCATTATTCTGCTTTCAGTGAACCGTGTCGCCTTCCACCACTCTCAGCTTCTCCTGTGTAGTTTGTTCTTACCTGGAAATGGTATTTGGATGAGTTCTTAAAGGCCTCTTGTAACATTTCATGTTTGGTAAATACCAGTCCCCTGGACCAGCTCTTTTTAGTACAGAATTATCCTCAGTCTGTGAGGGAGTGACAGGAGGAGCTATTTGCACATTTTTGAAATAGGCCCATTGTATTCAAAGATGCATATGAGAGTATTTGGATTTTTCCCCCCAAATAAGGGCATGCATCCTCAAACAGAGAGATGCTCAGTTCCAGTTGAAAATCTCAAGCTTTTTAAGTTACATAACAAAATTTTAGATTTCTTGAAAATTCAAGAAATGTTTGTTTTTGTGGGCTTTTTTACTCGCTCTCATAATCTCTGCCACTTAATGCCTGGTTTGGATCAATTAGCTGCATTTCAAATTGGCTTCTGTTAATAAGGATGAAAAATACCTTATCTCGAATTGAAATCACCAGGCACTTTCCAACTTCATATATAGAGTGGTGCCTGCTAATTTTTTGAAGGAACAGAAAATGTTTCTGTTATCACTGCTCTACACTACACTATGCAACACAAAAGAATTTACTGAGTGTTCCAAATTGTTAAATAATCAGTTCAGTTCCACAATGATGAGGTTCCTGAAGAATTTTATATTTCTTTTATCAGTTATCCTTCATTCTCACCATAAATGCAGTAATACATAAAGCAGTGTGTTCTACACCTCTCAGTTTCCACAAGCAAGGATATACCTATACACATCAAGGTACCTGGTGTTAAAAGTTGTTTCTTTTTATTTATGGTCAGTCTGTGAGCCTCTTCCAAAGCATAGGATTTTCAAATGGTAATTATAGGTGCAGGGGTTTAGTGAAACCGTAACTCATAATGATACAATAAATGCATCAGAGGGGTATGATTATAGAAAACTGGAAGAACCAGGTTAATTTTTTGAAATAAGAATATGCTTACCTAGGAAGTATTCCAGGAACATGGATAGAGTGAACTTGATGTAGCTTTTCCATCTTAGGTTTTTGTCTGAGGGGAGTCTAAAAGATTGTAAACAGCTAAAAGTCTACTCTTTCAAAGTTCTTTTTTCAAAAAATGCACTTTAGAACATTTTATTTTATGAAAGTTTATTGTCTAAATATGGCTTAGTTTCTCGTATAAAAACATTACTTGGACATTGTATTTACTGAATTTCAGTTTAAAAGAGATTCTAAGGCAATTCTCATACAATTGAAAGCAAAAAAGAAAATAATATGAATCTGCTTTCATATTGCCTACTTGTGAAAAATAATGAAATTCTACTAGAGCTGTTTGATACTAATTTTTGTCTTTCATTTTCTCTTAATACTAAAAAACATTTACATAAAACTAAATGCAAAGGAAGGCACAGCTGGTTATAGTGTATATAAGCACAGTTCAGCATTTGCAGAATTAAAGAGCAAAAAATCTTCACATCCTTGTTACACTGAAAACCACTAAGAAAAGTTCTTCACTGTCAACAGTGTTCAACACTTAAAACCTAAAAGGATATAAAAACAAAAACATTAAAATTCACTTAATGCAAAACAGATTTTCATATATACTTGAATATAAAAATGTTTTTAAAATGCTAACATAAATCTAGACCATGCTGTGAAAAGTGCAAACCAAATTAACAGATGGGTTTCACAACGTCCTTCTTACAACACAGGTAAACTAGCCCATGGGAACAAATTTGTTTCATCAGTTAATGAGTCTTTAATTGTGTCCAGATGTCATCAGGATTTCTGAGAGTTGGAGGAAAGCAGTACTGGAGAAGCAGCTCTGTCCAGACTGGGGATTGGCACTGGCATGTGGCCATTGAGCAGTGTTGGGAACTGTGGAGGACAAAAGATTTTTAAAATAATTATTGCAAATCCAATGGGAAGATTTGAGTTCTTTACATTCCTAGACAGACCGTAGTGGGTCATTTCTCTTCACCCCTGTGACAGAGGTCAGCTGCCAGTTATTTACAGAACGAGTAACTGGATGATGACAATGAGATCAAGATTACATATAGTAAACAGAGGCTAAGGCTTAGAAAATGTCCCCATTTTATATGCCTAGGCTACTAGAAAAAATACACTTTATATGTTGCTGAAGTATGTTCTAATACCATTTCTAAAGTTCCAAACTAGTCAGAATGCTAATTTGCTTTGAAAAGTAAGAAAAATTAACTTTGAAAACAAGACAGCTGGCTCTTGTGAATCAGTAATTTCTGATACTGTATTCTGAAATTGGCTATCAGTTTTTGAGAGTACCACAATGATGCTTTTCAGTAACTGTTAAAAATAAGGAATGTTTTTATCTTAAAAGGCTTAGAAAGTAAGAGTATCCTTATTCTTTCAAATTAAAAAGATAAATAATACCAAACTGAATAGAGAGATCACCCATAACTGATTTAAAAAAAAGTTAATTTCTATAATGTTGGTAACTAAGATGATAAATAGACTAAAGGTATATATACTTTGAGAACTTTCAGGACTGAAAAATGCAGCAACTATACTCAACAATTAAAGACCTCCTTTTAAAACATGACTATTTGAAACTAGGTTTTCATTGTCTAGGATGATATGTATCACAGTGATCTCCTGGGCTGTCTTCTAGTTTAATTCCTATTTAGTCTAGATAAACTAAAAAAATCTCACTTCAACACTAAATATCAAACTACGGAGCCTGGCATGTGTTAGATGTATAATAAATCTTTGTAGAACAAGTAAATATATTTTTGCAATTTTCGAACTATTTAAGTAACTGTTCTGTGTCTATTGCCTTAACAGTTTATCAGTGGTTTTTCACTGGGTACGAGAGCCTATAAAAGTAAGTCTGGTTATCCTCATTTTATAGATGAGAAAACAGACTTCAGTTGAATTCTGATTGGCTAAAGGTCATGGCTTATATACACAGTATAGCCAAGTTTAAACTCCGTCTGATTGAAAGGTACTGTGCTTTCTGTGCCAGGCTGCCCCACCTTAACATTTGTCAGGGGTTGGGGAATGGTGCTTTTTAATTACTATTTCTTTAATGGTCATATTCAAGGTTTTTCTTTCTTTCCTGACACCTGGGCATTTTAATGCTATGTAGAGTTTTATCCATTTCAACTGGGTTATCAAATCTTTACATTTAGCTTATACTCTATTTAAGGCATGTTCCCAACCACTATTCCCTGGATTAAGAGGGGACACTGGAAGAAGAGCAGGTTTTGAATTTTAATTCTTGTAGCTTATTTACTACTTCTCTCATTTTGGTTTTTGTCCATCTTACTGGTATTTTCAAAAGAATCCGCTCTTGGTTTTGTTACTGATTTCTGCTCTTTATTTCTATACACTCAGTTGTAGTTTCTCTTAGCCTGGCTTTTCCGACATGTTTCATAGTCCTCTTTATTGGCTCCCACCCACCTGCACGTAGTCCCTTTCCTGCTGTCAGATATCCCCACCAATGCCTCTTCCCCACAAAACCTGCTCTTCTCCTGCACTCAGTTTTTAAGTCAGAGTGGTGGTTAGGAGCACCGCCCTAAACGTGAATCAGGGCTGTACCACTTGTGTGATTTTGGTAAACTGAGCAACATCTCTGAGCCTTACTTTCTGTATCTTTTCAAATAGAACTACTGGGACTATTAAATGAGAAGCCATGACGTGTACCTAGAACAATGGCTGGCATACAGTAGCCCTCAAAAAATGGTAACTAACCATTGTTACCAATAGCACTCCCAGTCTTTTAATCAGTAATCTTTTGTCTCTTCCTCTCAATTTTATCTCTGGAATGTCTTAAATACATTCCTGTTTCCACTGTTCTCATCTGAAAGATGATTCTTCCCTCAGAATTTGGAGTAGTGTAGATTTCCTCATATTTTCCTGCCCCTTTTGCTTTCTGCTTTTTCAGCTGTCCTCCCTCCACACTGGTATCAGCAGTACCTCTCTAAAGTAGAGATCTTGTGCTATCTCCAACTTAAAAAAAGCTTTCCATGGTTATCACTTAACAAGAGATTAAGGTGGGAACTCCTTTGTATACTGTTCAAGTCCCACAGCTGCTTTTCCAGCCCATCTCCTGTCATCCAGTCCCTTCCTGAACAGATAGGTACTTTCATATTCAAATGATGCAGATCTATTCATCTAGAATGTACTTTGCTGAAATCCTCTTACTTCTTGGCAGCTCAGGTGCCCCTTCTGCCTTAGAGCCTCTGTCTAGTCTCCAGCTGGAAAAAGCTACTCCTGTTGGGTTCTTGTAGCACTCTGTTTACACATCAGTTAGTCACATGTATACATCTCCATGGTCCTTGCCTCAGAGCATTGCAAATATTTGCTGGGTTAGATTTGTTGAATAAAAGGCAGAAAAAAATTCTCAATTGAAAATTAACTCTACCTTGTTACAAACTATGTCTGTACCTATTCGGTGCATTCTAAATCTGATCAAAATCTGTTTCAAAAATGGAACACACATCCTAAAAACAAGCTTAAAATGCCAAACTGTCCAGTTGAATCTGATCTCACTTTACTTGTAACTAAGGTTGTATACTTAGAGTTAGCACGGTGTCTTTGGCATCTCTCTCTACTAAAACATGTCTAGATTACAAACCATCTCTCTTCCAGAAAGGCTAGTATCTTCACTCTCCTTCCCTTAAAATTTTCAGTATCTGCTATAGTAATACCTGGGGACGTTCTTTGCCAAAACTCAGCTCTTTGTCAACTGTTACCCTAAAGATTCTGATCTACTTTTCTAATCATTATAGTAGGAAATTTGCCAGCATAATTTGAAACTTATAGGCCAAATCTAATTTTTTTCCTCTTTAACACATTCACATAGCATATGTGAAAGAGGTTTATTGTTATTTTTAAAGAAACTTTTCAGTAGTTTTAAAAGGAGCACTGTTGATAGTTGTCTGATTTTTGAAAATCCATCATTTGATTTTTAAAAATTAGACACTTCAAAGTATTATTCTTCTATGTTTTTTTTATCATTTTCAAAACTGCTAATTTCAACTTTCACCACACCAAACTGCTCTTATAAGGAAGAATAATAATATTTTAAAAGGTACAAAATTGTTTTTTCTTAGTCTCCTGGATCCCAATTCCAAAAAGAGGATTCAAGGCCATGCAACCTTGGTCAGCCATCCAAACCTGGTTGTATTTTCCTTTTCAGGGTTGTGTTCTGAATGGCTCCAGGAGAGAGGACAGGACCAGTTTGTGAAATTAAAATTCTGAGCAGGTAGCCTTTAAATGCAGTATATCTTCTGCAGAATAATAAATATAAATTAGGAACAATTGATCTGCAGTGTTTCTCATAATGTGGTTCCTGGAGCAGCAGCATCATTAGGAACTTGAAAGAATGTTATTATCAGGCCCCATTCCAGACTTTCTGAATCAGAAACTCTGGGGATGGAGCCCAGCAAACTGCATTTTAACACACCCTCCAGCTGATTCTGTTGCCCGAACCACTGGTCTTCAGCCTTGACTGAAAAGAGGATATGCTTATCTCCCAATTCCCAGAGCTCCTGATATCCTAATAATATGTAGAATCACTGTGGATGTGAACCACTGTTCCTGTTGGGCGTAATGGGCTAAAAAAAGGTTTAGTATCTAAGGCAAGAGATCTCAAAGAACTCCCAACTAATGGTTCTCCATGGCTTCCTTGGGAGGTCATCAAGCCCTGCATCATCAGGTGGCTGAATTCCCAGTAAGGAAGGAAATGAGAGTCTATTAATTATTCACAAATGTCTATGGAACCCTGGAGAGGCCCTGCTTTAGATTGTAGGATTAGAGTAGTGTTAGTGTTACAGTCCCAGCTGCCAAGGTGCTGGCTGTATGTATGCACCGTACAACTCCTTTCTGCTCTACTCAGGAGCTCTCTGCTGCTCCCGTCTGGAGACTTCCAGGAAATAAGGTCTTTTAGCTCCTCATCAAAAGATTACTAATATAAAACTTGCCTAGTACTGTATTTGCTCACTGCTTTTTGCTATTTCTAGCTTTTGTTTCCCTGCCTGAGTTAAAATGGCTAAAAATCAACATGTTGGCTGTGCATGACCATATCTCAATTTCTTGTGATGAGAAGGGCCAGGAAAAGAAA